GGGCGGGGGGGGGGGGGGGGGGGGGGGGGGGGGGGGGGGCAAGGCGGGGGGGGGGGGGGGGGGGGAAATGAAGCTGTACATCCCACGTGTTGCGCTATTCATGCACCCACCTTGTCTCCTCCCAGGAACTAGCACGGCCACGCAGAGCGCCCAACCACGAGGAACTAAAACAGGTTATCCTACAGAAGTAAGTACCCAGGAGCAAAGAACCCCTTACTCTGCTCCCAGTAGAGGAGGAGGTGGCAGTTTGGGGAAGGTCAGAATGACAATGTGGTCTATAAAGAACTTAGGGTGTACGATGCTTAGTAAGGATGCCGTGAAGCTGATCTGGGTATAGCTGAACACATCTAAGCACAAATATAATCATCAGGTGGGAAAAAACAGGTTTGGGTTTCTTTTAGAGCTCTGGCACAGAAACAGGCTACCTGCACCAGCTGGGTCACAGCACTGGCTGCGTGTGAGGTTTCAGCCTCCTGCAGGTATAGCATAAATCACAGTACCGTCAGCTGAGGTCCCGGTTAAAGGTTCAAGGCACAAACATCATGCTGCAGCTCAGGTAACACGTGGTGACTTGTAGAACTACAGCAACTCATTCATTCCTCCATCCTTGGAGACAGTCCAAACAAGGCTAAAGATATCTTTAAGAGACTGCCTGTACAGCAACACTGGGAAGATTAAACCTCAGTTGCTGAAGGTGTGAATTCAATGCATTTAAAGAAACCTCTCTGAAGTCCCCCTATGGACTTCTTGGGAATGAAAGTGGCTTTAGATTGGTTTACCTTTATTCATTTCCAAAAGCATTTAATTCTCAATAGGAGAACCCACACTGTGGTTTCATCGATCTGCTTTAAGATCTCAGCTTTCATGAGTATCCTCCTGCGGGCATGCAAATTCCACGTGTCTATCCAGCCACGTCTTTTCCACCACTTTACATCCTTCCCCAGTGACAAAATAAACAGCCGATGGGCTAGGGAAGATAAAGCAAGGCAGAATGGCATCCAGGCAGAATTAGCAATCCCTGTCCTTGCCTATCTCCTGTGCAGGCTTGTTTCAGAGTAACACGCAAGGGAACAAAAAAAGCACCAGCTGCTAGTTACATTTCTGGGAACTTCACTTTAATGACATTTTGGCAACATCCTGTACTTTAAACATCACTCAAGCACAGGTACAGAGAGCAGATCACCATAGCTGAAGATACACAGGAACAACTATACTAATTACTGAGGGAGCAGTCATGGTCAGCTGTGCTGTCCACCTACTAAACCAGCACCAAAGTCTCAAGAGTAGTAACTCAGCAGTACAGCAAGCAAATGCTTGGGCCCTGATGTCTCAGTCACACAGGGAATGAGGTGATGCTTTTATGAAGTTGCTTCCAGCACAGACCTGTTTCATAGTCAAGTAGTAGGTGGAGTGTGAAAGGAACGCCATCTCTTCAGGGCAGAAGCAGCCAGCTTGGTCCTGTAACCTCACCTCTGTCTCCTTTGGCTGCTATCACTTGGGCTGGGAAGGAGCAAAGCTGCCCCAATGGCAGAGCACACCAGACCTCAGCATCTCAGTTCTGCAGGGGCTATCGACATTCTCAACAGCCTGAGTTTTCAGTACCCTTCACATACAGCTAAGGCTACTACTCCAGGAGAATCCTGCTGGATTCTCACCACAAGGATGGCACACTTCTTGCCCATTTCATCCACGGGGGAATGTTAAGTGCTCCTAGCTGCAATCTAGGCAAGTAGGACACATTGCACAGCCACAAACCAGCCAGGGGAGAAAGGACATAGCCTGTGAATAGCCCCAGGCAATGCACGTTACCGTGTTCACTAAATGCTTCTTGTGTTTCAGATACATGATGGTGGATAGTGCAGACGATCAGAAAACACATCGGCCAGCTCCACCCAAAGAGGTAAGAACAGTCCCACCTCACCAGCAGTTTGAATGTCCTTTGGCTACAAGGTTTAAAAATCAGGCTGCAAGTCCAAAATGCAAAGGGGCAGTCCCAAGGCAAGACTGTTCACAGAGCTGCTAGTCAGCAAAGAGGGAAGATTAGCTTAGCTAAGGTGCTGCAGGGTCTGTCAGTTCCTACCATTCCTGACTAGCATGGCTCCTGCTCCCCCCCGTCAGACAGCTTCCTTCCCAGTTTTGGCCAAGATTCCCAACACAAAGGACGGCTAAAGCAGCCCACCCCAGTCTTCCTGCACCTGCCCCCCAGAGCACAGCTCTCCTTCTGCTTGTCCCCTCCCTTTCCCTAGCAGTGTGGCTGTCGGTGCACTTCGTGTTAATGTCTTTCCTCTCCAGGCTCCCAAGAAGCTGATCCGCTATATTGATAACCAGGTGGTGAGTACAAAGGGAGAGAGGTACAAAGACATCAAGAAGCCTGAGAGCGAGGAGATGAAGAGAACCTACATCAGCCTCAAACCAGCCAGGAAGTACAAGTTCCACTGACGGCCAGGTCCTCCTGCTCTTCAGCCTCCACCTTGCTGGCCAGGCACAGCAGGATGGACATGGGGCACTAGGGATGAGGGGACTCTTCCACCTGTCACTAACTGGAACTAACCTGGGAGACAGGACACCGCTTTCAGCTTCCTCAACTAACCCGGTTGACAAGGAGGAGCCTTCCCTCCTTGTGTAGCTGTCCCTCTGCCCCCAGGGGCACACTGCCCAGGCCCTGGAGAGCCACTGTGTTCTCAGCTACTCCTTGCATGGGACATTTTTAGATCTAAGATGTGGCTTGTGCTTTTGCAGCAAGCTTTTTACAAGTCTGTGTGCACTGTTGCTTTAAATTGAGTGCCAGTGTTAATAAAGGTGATGTGAGTTGGTGTGTAGTTCAGCCAGAGCATGCACATGCTTTAAAGACACCGCCTCCAGTCCCTCCTGGGGCCAAAGATAGGAGCAGGGTCATCCTCTCTTCCCCTAATTACTCTCCATCACCTTCACCACAAGATGTAGCTGCTGTTTGGTTAACCACCTAGGTTAACCACCCACAAGGGCTGAGGCTGAACTCCAGATCAGAGCTAGGCTCTCCCCGCCAACACAACCTGCAGTACTCCATAAACTCCAGCTGACAGCATGACCAGGGCTACTGCCATTTCTTAACCGCTGTTGAGTGCCAAAGCTCCAGCCACACAACATGGAGCAGGATATAGTAGCAGGCCTGGGCACTACTGAAATGTTAAGTCAGAAGCTGGAAGAAACAAATGGCAATGACCAACTGCTTTCAGTGACAGCGCAGCTAGGTTTGGTGCTTTTCCATCAGTGAAACTGCAGTTAGGAAGGAGCATGTTCCCCCTGAAAACAATTCCTGCCTTGCACTAGCCTAAACTAGCGCCCATGGCCTGGACAGACACGCTGCCTGCACCAGGGCCATGCCAGCCCTTTGGTGCCAGGCTGGACAGTGGCCGTGGGCTGGAGCTGGGCTCACTCTGCCCTCCTCCCAGAGGGGCCTGCCCTCTCCCAAGAGGAGGGCTGGGAGCTTTTCTCCTTTCTGCTCCAGCTGGCCTGGTTTGTTCCCAACAGCTCTGCTGGCATGCCCTGCACATCCACCCCAAGGGACAGTCCCCATCAAACACTCTCCTGCTCTCTGGACAGCTGCCACTTAGAGATTTAAAATACAACAAATAATAAATCCTATCTATTAGCTGGCCTGGCCAAGGCCTGTTTAGCACCATGGTGTTCCTGCAAGTCACTCGCTCTCTCCATGCCACTGCAGAGGGAGTTACTTTCCCCAGAGGCACCAACAAAGCCCACTCACGAACACCCAGTGGCTGCTAAACAGCCCCAGCCCCAGAGGAAGGAGGGAGCCCACTCGGGCCAGCCTCGCCAATGGGACCAACCTCTCCCTCTGCACGTCTCTGCAGCAGCCGGTTCCGGCATCCCAGCGTCACGTCAGTCCCCCCCTCCCCAGCAGCAGCAGTTCTAGATCTGGAGGTTGATGAAAGGGGCGAAGCCAACCACGTCCTGCAGGAGAACGAGAGCCCTCTGCAGCGGAGGCTCCACATCCAGCTCCACCCCACGGCTTCGGAGGATGCTCAGGCTGGACTCGGCCACATTATGGCAGTGCTTCACCTTCAGCGAGCGCAGCTTGGGACAGTACTCAGCCAGGACCCTGCCAAGAAAGAGAGCACATGCAGGTTGCAAGCCAGGACTCTCGAGTGCACCACTCACCCTCTTATCTACTCCCAGCAGCCCAGTGCTCATGACTGTGCCACACACACACCATCCTTTGGGAGCAGCACCCTGGTGCTGCTGTCTGAGAGAAACTCAAGGGACATGGTCAGATTCCAGACCTACCATCCGTGACATGCTGGGGAATTTGCTGTTAGTAGAACACAGTGCCTCTCCTGAAGGGCCTTCTAGTAGCTTCTCCCCCAGACTGAGGTCTCTTTGCTTTCAGCATGAAGAAATCCGACTTTTCTCTCTAGTTCTCCTCCTCTCCCCACCCCAGACACCTGCCAACCCCACCCTGGCTCCCTGCGTTGCTCAGTACCTGATGGAGTCATTCTTGACTCGCAGACACCCCGTGAGGTCCAGGTGCTCCAGCTCGGGGCAGCACTTGGCAATCTCCTCGACCGCCACATCGCCCACATTGGCATTGACAGCCAGCGACAGAGACTTGAGCTTGCTGCACTTCTGCACCAGGTAGCAGATGGCCTCGTCCTTCAGCTGGCGACAGGCCGTCAGGTCCACAACCTCCAGCACCTTGCAGTGGTCAGCCAGGCTGCGCAGGGACAGGCTGTCCACCCACTCACAGTGAGCCAGGGAGAGCCGGCGCAGGTTGGGGCAGCTCAGCGAGATGGCCACCAGCGCGTGGCGGCTGAGCTGGGCGCAGCCCTTCAGCTGGATCTGGTGCAGGTGGTGGTTCTGCCCGATGACTGGGAGCAGCTCCCTGTCTGTCAGCCAGTCGGAGCAGTTCTGGAGCGCCAGCTGCTGCAGTACTTCGTTGTCCTTCAGCAGGTTAACGAAAGCAGCTCGAGGGATGGCAGGTCCGATCTGCGTGGGGAACCCAGGAAGAATGAGGCATCCCCCAGGGTTTCAGACCAGCCTGATCCTCACCAAATACTCTCTCCCCTCCTCTCTTCCACTGTGACAGTGGTGACCAAAGCCACCCCCTCTCCTCATCCTAGGGCAAACCCTGCCATCAGGCTCTCTTCCCCTCATGCCAAGGCTATTGCCACAGGCTAGAAGATGCTGTGGCTTCCCCATCCCCCATCATCGCCCCTGCATTTATACACTCGTGATGAGCGCCACACCTCTGCTCTCCAAAAACTCTTTGCTAGGCCACTCTGTGTCCTCACAGAACAGCAGCTACTCCTGTCTTTCCAAGTCACAGGCAGTGTCTCCCAGGGCCAGCACAAGCTTTCCCTGAAGACCAGGCACAGAGTTATCTCCCGTCAGAACTACCCTATTGCACAACCTCCGCGAGGACTGACAGGCCATGCCACTCCGGAGCTGGCTTGTCTTTCTGCCAGCCAGTGCCCCATAATGGCCTGGGTGGAGCTTCCAGGCTCACTTCTCCCAAGGCCTCTTGCTAAAGACGCTGGCATTGCTGGGCCCTGAATCACTGCCTCTCCTCCCTGAGCCCATCTGTCCAGTCTGACACCTGAGCCATTAACCTGAGCTCCTGAGCAGAAACCAGCCTCCTTGCCAGGGGTTTCTTTTCCCCACGTAGTCACATGCTCCCCTGCTAGCTCCAGAGCAGTAGGACATCTGTGTCTCCCCCAGCCTCAGAGCCATCCAATACCTGGCTTGAGTCAAAGCAGCGCATGTTGGCCAGGTACAGCTGGATGAGAGACTGGAACGACTTGCTGACCCTCTGCAGGCTCAGGAGCTGCTGCAGTGGCAGATGACAGAGGATATGTGGAACCAAGATGTCTTCCCAGGGCAGGTCCAGGAGGCATCCCCTGGAGGGGGTCAAACTCATCATCAGACGCCAGGGAGCCAGGCTACAGTGGGAGCCAGGCTAGATCACCTCACACCTACTGCCGGGTGCCTCTAGGAGGAACAGCCAGGAAGAAAGACTCAGCGACGTCTCCCACAGTCAGCCCACAGGGTAAAACCCCTTGGCTAGCCATCAGCAGGGCACGCACCTGCCACCTGCGTCACCGCCTCCCCAGCCTGGGACGTTCACTGCTTAGGCATCCGAGTCCACCCGCCTGCGCTGCCCTCCAGGAGAGCTCGGGTGGGGCTTTCCACCGGCTGCTTAAGGAGTCCCTGTCCCGCAGCGAAGCAGCAAGTGACTGCTGCAGCATTACCACGCCACCCACACGGTAGCTGTGTCTGGCTTTCATGTCTAAGCTGCCCTACCTGGCAGCGAGTCCAAGCGCCGAGCCACTCGGGCACCTCGCGAGGGGGAGAGGGCAGGCACCTGCTCCTTCCCGTGGGGAGCAACAAGGCTCCGGGCTCCCCCCCAGAGAGGGCTCCCCCCGAGGAGCGGGGACGCAGCATCTCCGCGGAGATGAGGCCGCAGCCCCGGCCGCCGAGGGGAAGGGCAGGAGCCGAGGTAGGAGCAGAGGGGTGCCGTCAGCCCGGAGCCCCCCGAGCTGCGGCTGGAGGCCGCGGTTAGACTCGGCCCCGGCAGAACCGGCAGCTGGAGAGGGGGACTTCGCCCGCGGCCATTCCCTTCCCCCCCCGCCCCACGGGGCCCCGTT